CCCACACTATTCTTCATTTTTCCCTGTATGTTCTAGAAACCCTTTCCCTTGTGAGCAAGGTGCTGAGGCTCCAGCAATGCCAGCGCCGGCAGCACAGGCCGGTGGGACGCTGAGCACGGTGGAGGAAGGAGAATGGGCAGCAAAGGCAGGAGAGAGGCTCCTACCGAGACCGCGACAGGAACAGCCACCCCACGGCCAGCAGCATCTTGAGGACTCATTTCAGTTATCTGATGAACTCTAACGTTTACTTAAAGAATGAAGCAAAGTGATCATGGTCCTAGGATAATAACTTATAATAAAGCATCCTTTCCCTCTTCCCCTCCTAATAGTGCTCTCCTAAGCAAATTCAGGAAACAGAGCAGGACGACCACCTTTCACAATATGGTTTTAATCAAACCCAAGTTTCTCCATCTGCTCTAGAGGCCTACAGACTGCTTTAAAGTGAAGTGCTTCACTGCTATGATGGATTAATGATTTTCCACAAAGAAACCAGGGAATAAAAAAAGCAATCTAAACTCATGTAGTAAAAAATTACAGTACTCTCTGATGGATCTTGTGTTCAACACAAAGCAGAGGTTCTACTTGTGGCATTAAGTGTCTCTGTGTCCTAACATATGGTTGAAAGACAGGTTTTACTCTACCAACCAGCAGCAACTGTGGGCAGGCTAAAGTAAAACTGTTACCATGGATAAGCATCTACTCAGCTCTTTAAATCAGCAATATGCTGGTAAATATATCAAATGACCTAGAACTGAGAAATAATGACCTTGAAAGTGAGAGCTTATTTCTGGTTTTATCCATCTTTAAAATCAGAGCTTAAACTAATTCAACCATGCATTTTAAGATCTATATTGTATCCTTCCAAATCCATTTGAGAATGCCAAAGTCTTGAAATGTTATTTGTTCAAGTGCAGAGCTTACTATAGGTCAAAATTTTATTTGCCTTTGAAATGATTGTGTATGTTACTTAAGTCAGTATTACCAGTAGAGGACAGACAGCTCCCCAAATATAGTGAATTTCTTAGGGACCATGAAAATTATGGATAAATATAGGCATGTATGGCAGTCAAATTTAAGTATGGAAAAAGAATACAGGTACTTAATAGTACATTTAAAATATATCTTTACATCAAGTTCTGATTTCATTGGTGAGTATGGGTCCTGCTGGGACCAAAAAGAGGCTCAGCTCTGCAATCTGGACACTTTTCACCGTATGACTTTACTAACATTTAATTAGCAACTGGTTCCAGTTGTACTGATGTAATGCTACCGAAATACAGAAAAAATGACCTTAAGTGAGTTCAGTGAGGTCAAACAGGAGCAGTCCTTTCCATGAAATCCACGGGCAAGAAGATACACGTATGGACACATAATCAAGTGTTGTCACAGCATCCAGGACATCACATTTTACTCTAGCTCCTCAAACAGCCTTAGACAAATCATTCATTATTGCTACTGTTCTCTTTGCTCCCCCCAACCCTTCAATACAGACCAGTTGATCAGTTTGTAAGGCTGAATGTGCCTGGGACTGCCAAGAGCACGGCAGTTCTCAGCACAAAGCTGCTGTGCCATGACGGCTCTGCCACAGTGCCAGGAGGTCAAACTGCTGATGTTCCACCGGGGAGGCCCGAGAGCTGACATGTGAAATGCATCACCAGGGCAGTTTTTCAGATTGCAGCAAGTTTATGCTCTATAGCCAGGCAACAAAACCATTCCAACCTCAATAAAGGCATAAACACACTAAAGGAATAATGGATAAATGCATCAAAATTTTCTAAGCATCACTTTACCTTTCTGCTGAAAGACAACTTGGAAACTCTTTACTAATCATCTTAAAATTCCACTTAAAACTCAAGCAATAAGAGAAGGCTCAGGTATAGCGATATAACTTGGCAAAGCTCTGCCTAAATCATAGAATTCCTGACTAGTTCGGGTTACATAGAAAAATAACAAAAAATAGAAGCCAAAACAAGTAGCCACTCTGGAACATAGAGCATAAAATTGTGATACACAGAATTATACAGAAAAACATACTTTTGAAGCACCTATTACTTTTTTGAAAACGCAGCAAAAGAAAAGGATAGTAAGCATGAACATTTCTTTTTTAAAAAAGGAGAGAAACTAATGCGAGATTTGTCTATTTTATTAAAAAATAGAGCGGGAAAGAGAAATTATTACGTAAAAAGGAGGAGGAAACCTCATCCGTTACCTACCTCAGTCTGCAAACATTCCACTTCCCCGAGATCAGTGACATCTTGGGGCAAAAGAGGAGGCTCCTTGCTTGCTGCAATTTCACAGCAAATGGTTTTACAAGCTCAGTGTTGCTTTATCAGTCATTAGTAAATCACTTTAACTGGAGAATTTAGCCTAGCTTGTAAAAATTGCCACATTTTAGGCAAGCTATAAATGAAAATGTTTCAAACAGAAAATGTAAGTGATCTAAAGCTGAACCTTGCCTATCTCCTTCAATGAATATGTTGCAAAAAACATAAAACTGATGCCAATTTGTAAGATTTAATGAATATTTGGACTGTTAAATGAATAGTCTATGCCTCAAAGCTGCTCATTTGGGATGCTGTTGTTATAATAAAATTAGTTAAGCATTCCATGGAAGCTCAGAACCCTGGGCTGGTGCTGGCTAATTGAAGTCTACAACTTTATTGGCGATTCTCTGCATCTTACACATTTGCACTGCACAGTTTAATAGCTGATGGCCTTGGTTCTAACTTAATTATGAATTAGAAATGAAGGTTGCCTGAGCACGATAACATTCAGCTAAGCTTAGATGTCTTTCAGGCCTACTTCACCTGTTGTTACCTTAATTTGACTGGACTAATAGGTTCTAATCACACAGAACAAATGGGTCTTTAAACCAAAGACACAAAATTAAGGACCAGGTCCTGCATGTCCTTCATTCCCAGCAAAACTGTTGGGAGTCACTGCCATTTAGCACACCTCAAGCAGCACTAAACAGGAGATTGAGCTCAGAATTCACAATATAGTCCATAATGGTCACACCTTACAGAAAAGGCAAGAAAAGAGGCCACGGAGGGTGAACTATTTACTCCAAGAGGCCAAGGGCACTTCATTGCTCGGCGCGCAAAAGGCCTCTCCCTTAAGGTGCCCAATGGGCAGCCTGGGCGCAGCCGAGTTCCCTCCCGCTGTCGGGCCCTTGGAAGTGATTCCGCAGCCCCGGCAGTGGCCACGGCACAGAGCCCGACCCCGAGCGGCGCCGGGGACGAGGGACAGCCCGGCTGGGGACACGGCGGCCACGAGAACGCAGCCGGGCGCGCTGCGGAACACCCACAGCTGGGGAACACACGGGCTTACACGCTTCTTCCTCCACACCATAACAACCACCTGGGGAAAAAGCTGACTGACAGATACCAAGGAAAACACTTCAGGAAGGAGGAAAAAAGCAGCCCTGGGAATGCAAGACTCTGAAGCCTCCATAACTTTCTAGAAGATAAGACAGAACATGTTCACTATAAACAAAACCACCTCCACATCCCACTCACACAAACACACACTGTGCTGTGGTCCATTAACAGTCAGTATGTTCCACTGATTAAAAAAAAATCTAATACATCTGTCGGAACACAGAGACAGAATAAATATCCTTATCGTTCCATTTACTGTAAATAATACTTAAGTGCAAGTCAAATATTAGCTATATTCAGCACAGCATCATAACAAAACAGGCACTGTTAACATTATGGTCCCAAACTGTGTTACTCTTAATTAACATCTGACATATATCTGCTTTTGCAATCACCCATTACTGATTAAATGACAAGGCACAATGTCAGATGCATAATCTGATTGGTTAGTACTCAGTTACCAAGGTGTTACATTTTGAAATTGCCTGTGAATTGATTTCTTTTATTGAATTAATAAGTGTTATCATACTGTACAGAAGGTAAAATTGCTACTGAATGTGAGCGATAACATATAATTACAGAAAATCAAATCCTAATCTGCAGAGCCAAGCCAGGTGTCAACATTTTAATTGTAGTCAGGGAAGCGCAGTAACACCAGAGAGCAGGGGAGGGAGGAGATATCTCAAGTGCAGGAAGCAGGAGAAATATATTGCATAGAAAAACAACTTCAGTTAGGCACGATAACAACCTTGAGGGATGTCAAACACTCGCATGCAGAAGCATTATACTAAATTCCTCATTTTATACAAACCTCTGCAGGACTGGGATGGGATTTCTCCCACCTGAAGGAGGCAGCGCGAGGACGGCCCAGATGTGACAGTCCCAGAGCAGTGAGTTTTACACTGAGGCAATTCCCACCCTTTCCTTTGCCCCAGCCCTATGTTCCCACCTCTCCCTTGCACCAGGACCGCTATGACTAAGTGGGGAGACAGTTCAGGAAATGAGCTCAAAAGAAAATAATGTCTTTTTTTCCCGTGTCAGTGTTTGGCCGCGGAGCCCTGGGCAGCAGTTCCGGGCGCACGCGCTCGGGAGGAGAAGGTCGGGGCCCTGCGCCGTCACCAGGGCCCTCCGGGAGCCGCAGCCTCCGTTCCGAGGGATTGGAGAGACAGGTCAGCACCCCCACCCGTTCTGCACGGTTCAAAGGGAAGACCCTGGAAGATACCCCTGGCTGCTTAAAGCCATGGCAAACACAGAGTTTGGGGTTTGCGACAAGAACTGCCCTGGATGCTGCTGTGCAAGGGCAGGCTTGGAGCTAGCCCGGATCCCGCGGCTCCGCTGGGGAGGCTCGCAGGGAGCGTTTCCCCTCAATCATCTCCCGTGCACTGCCACAACCAGCCTGGGCACCTACTTAATCTGTGACCTTACAGCTCCTGTCAAGCAGACCGCGAGCCCTTCCAGACTCATATTATCCATTACCGAATTTTCATTTTTATTAAGCTCAGCAGAGACTTCGTTCCTTCTCCTCTAGGAAGCATGAATTCTCCTGTGTCACTTATTCCACAAATGATTTATATCAAGAGCCTGTCAACTACAGGAGGCACTTGCTTATGCTTACTATACCTCCAAGTAGCTCTGTCCTTTCCGGGTCATTACTAACACAGCACTTATCCCTCGTACAAGCACAAATGCCTCCCCGCGGTCCCGCTGGTATTTATCTGAGCGCTCAGTGCTCTCCATGGATTTATCCTCCTGGCACCCCAGCGTGTTGGGCATCGCCACTATTGCTGCTGCACAGACGGAACAGGGCTCAGAGCCCAAATTTGGGTCTTCATTCCCTCAAGGGGACTTCTCCTCCATTGGGATGTTAACTGCAGAGAACCTCCCCTTTCGCACACCTGGGGCAGCAGGAAACCACTGGGGCTTCATCCCGGATTCTCTCTGCTTTACCAGCCTCAGACCTCCAAACGTGCCAGGAGAAGACTTCACCCCGTGCCCGTCCAGCCCCGTGCGGGAGCGCCCCGCGCTGCAGTCGCCCTGCCACCCTGCACCGGGGCCGTCGCCGTCGGCCAGATTCCGTGAACAACAATAAAACAAATGTATCCGTCTTGTGACGGGAGCGCCAAGACAAGCAAGGAGCAAAGCTGGGGCCAACTGTAACACCACAGCTTTTGGCAGGCAGCCCTCTTTCCAGACCCTTATATATTTCTGTCCCAACTTTCCATCTAGTTCCTCTCCTTTTCAATACTGCTGGGCACGTCATAACACCCACCAAAGAGGGACAAATTGCTGCATGGCTAAAGGCTGGCCCTTGATAAATTAAGGCACCCCCAACTCCTTCCTCTCTGACTCTTTCCAACGTCACTTTGCTGAAAGCTCTGGCAAAGCTGAAAAACCTGTTGCTGCTGTTTCGCTTTCAAACCCTAAAGCCAACTGGCAAACCAGAATTTAACCTCACAGCTGCTGTATACGGGCTGATCAATCCACACTGGCCAAATAAAATATTGCTTTTAAAATGTAATTTGTGTTTGGCACTGAATGCATTGAGAAAATTCAGAGCAATCTGCACGACAGACCAGCTAGCAACCCCTTGCAGAAAGTGCTTTGATGCCCCCAATTTATATCTGACAGCCAGAATGCATCTTGGAAATGGGCAGCAGAGTAAGAAGCCCCTACAGTAATCATAACTGATGTAGGAAAATTGAAAACACTTAATTGCTTCTAATCTGTTGCAAAATTCTGTTGTGGGCACACTCTCCCTTTCCAAAACCAGAAAGTAACAGCAAGAGGACTCTCCCTCTCCAAAAAACCAAACAGGCTCAGCAGGACAACACTGAAATTGGGCTGACTGATTTCCGCAAGCTGCAATGACCCTTTTAGAAAACTTGCAAATCCTCCTTGCTGTTCCAAAATACACCTCAGAGTTAATTTTTGGTGGGGGGAAATAAAGGCATAAACAAAGTAGAGGTCTCTGCTTATGCCTGTGATTCTCTTGCCTGACCACCCCTCCGTAGCCTCGTACTGCTGTCTCAAGCCGCACACACATTCATCTGCACATGTATTTATGGGCAACCTCTTGCAGACAAAGTGCATATTTCCCCACCACAGTAAAAGTCAGTTCAAAGCAGGCTGCACCCATTGAAGTCCATGAGAGACTTTTTTTCCCCATCAATTTTAGCAGGGGTTTTGTTGGGACTGTTGAGGTTTTCTTCAGGAAAAGCCTCCTTGTTGATTAGGGCTCAGCAAGAAAAGACACAAAGCGTATCTTACTTTTATTGATTACATCCATTCCCCAAATAACTTCAAATTAATCCTTCAATTTCATTTCCAGCTGCTTTTCTGTTGTGCTTGGTCGCTTAAGGAGAAAAGAGTCTTGTGGAAGCGACACAGGTGAATTACATTTGCTCAACATCTTCAGCATTAAATAATCTGCACATAACTCAGAGCCTCACTCGAAAGGTAGGCTGCAATGAGCTGACATAAAATATGGCTCTGCTAAGCCAAAAAAGATAAAACAGGGATACCTTCATATTTAAGGGAAAAACAGTGAAGGTTTTCATATTTTAATGAGATACAGATGGCGACCACTGAATGAATCACTCTGCCCATAATTAAAGAGTCTTCTGATGTCTGTAGACTCTTCCTGTCATGAAAACTCTTGGACGCTATTTCATCTCCAACCTAAGTCTGATTTCAGACTGGAAGAGGAGGATCCAAATGTTGATGTCACCCCAGACACCACTTATATTCTCCATTTCCCTTTTGAAGAGCTTGGTATTATTTTCTGTCTATTCTTCTTTTTTTTATAGGTCTGCAGGCACCCTTACAGCTAGACAGGAGATAAGAAAAATCAACAACAGACCAAGGAATTTCTAGCCCTCCTACTTTACCTTTTCCTGTGAAACAGCGTTAGGAATGTGTCTCACCAAATGCTCAAACCCCTGTATAAAATGAGAAAAATTAGCTTTCAAGCACACAGGTATAAGACTTTAATTTTGCCCAGGTTTTAATCATGGCCTATGGATTTAAGCAGCCATCTCCTCTGTAACTAGCAGCTTTGCCAGACAGTTTTCAGCTCTGTCCAGAACTAGGGAGAGGGCTGGAAGGTTCCTGAGGGAACCACATAGTCCAGCTGATTCATGACCCTTAGAAACAGGTTAATGACCTTCAACAGGCATTGGCCTAACATTTCCTAGAAACTTCCAATACTTCTGCAGCCTCTGCAGCGAAGCTGGACCCTGGGCTTAGCTGACTTTACTATTACATTTTTTCCCAAATGTCTCTTTGGATGACCAATATCCTTCTTGAACTGTGAAAAGGAAACACATTGAAGCCATCACCAGAACCAAATAAAAAGATCAGAATGCCTTGCATGTTTTATAGTAAACCATATTTCTATATCCTGACAATGAGTGGAAGTTTTTCCCTCCATAACAAGTTGTTTAAAAAAAAAGAAAAAGAAAAAGAAAAAGAAAAAGAAAAAGAAAAAGAAAAAGAAAAAGAAAAAGAAAAAGAAAAAGAAAAAGAAAAAGAAAAAGAAAGAAAAAAGAAAAAGAAAGAAGAAAAAAGAAAAAAGATCCAGGCACTCCAGGCTTCCTTGCTTGCAGTTCCTCCCTTTCTCCCCCTTCTAATTTTCTTTTCTCCAGGCTTCTCAAGCCTCATTTGTCCTCCACAATTTTTCAAAGATTATCACTAATGACACTGAAATCACTCGAGCCAGTTTTCTAAGTGTCCAGAACTGAATTCCACAAGGTTCTGCTAACCTAAGTATTCAAATCTTTTCCCGTTCCCTGCTACTGTTGGTGCGTGACTGCAGCTGACCCTCTCAGGAGGAATAGAAAGGATAAGAAAAAAAGTCATTAAGCACTTTTGCTTTCTCACTTGCATCTTTTGAGAGGTATTTCTTTCCATTGAGCAGTGGACAGCCTCTTCCCTGGTCCATCTCTTGCTACTAGTATATTTATAGAAATCTCGCTGGCTGCCCTTTATGTCTTTTGCCAATTGTATCTCATTTTGGACTCCAGCCTTCATTTTTCTCTGCATGCTCACAATAAAATTGTCCTCCATAGTTCAACCTACCCTCCATTTTCTTTATGTTTCTTTTAAATTTCAGGTCATTAAGGAGCCCATGATTTAGCTAAGGTGATCTCCTACTACATTTCCCATCTGTCCCCTCTATTAAGAGGGTTCACACTTATGAACCTGAATTTGCTTCTGTAAGAAGATTTCCACTCTCCTGACTTGCTTTTCACATAGATCAGCTTGTCATAAGATTGTACCTCTTAATTGACTTCAATCTGCTTCTTTGAAGCACATTATCTTTGCCATGCTGCTCTCCCTGACTTTTTTTTTTCTTCCCCTAATAAACAGTGCTCTGCCAATCTATACGTGCTGTTTTCCTTCTAGAAAAGCTATTCTGCTTAGCTAGCATCATTGCCTTGACTTCCTATTAAGGACTGAATTCCAATTGCTGATCATTTTGCATTTGCTTGGATGAGACTTTGGGTACTATGGATGAACAAGGAGGCTTTGACTTTGAGCATGGAGGAATTTTCACAAAATGAAGGGGGAAAAAAAAAGAAAAAACCTCTCAGATGCTTCTAGAAGGAGACAGGCATCCTCCAAAGCATCTAAATTGCTGCTAGCATCCTTAGACGAGCCTGAAGAATCCTCCTTGCTGCTGGCACAAGATACAATGAAGGATTTAAGTGCAGGTTGTAAAATTCTGTGTGCTGTCCTAGATAATTCATACCTTTCCACATGATGCGTCTCTGTTCCTTAAGCGCGAGAGATCACTCTCGAGGAGGCAGCCCTGACCCCAGGCCTTAAACATCCTCCCTCGGCATGGGGGATCCTAATAGCCTCTCACCGTGCTTAGCCACACAGTAGCAGTTGATAGCAGAGAGCAACTCAGAGGAGCTAAAAAAGAATAAACATTTTTCTAGCAGCCCCCTAATACCTAGAGTGGGGAAGGAAGACGAGCGAGCGTACAAGGGAGCCACTGAAAGCAGCGCTGCTCCTAACATGTGCTTGGGGAGATATCTGTTATCTGGGCCTTGCCAGCTGCCTGCTGCACGCTCAGGATCACAGCGCCCTTAGCTCTGCTTGCTGCACCATCCCCAGCGCAGACTGTGCCCTGCACGCTCAGGATCACAGCGCCCTTAGCTCTGCTGGCTGCCCCATCCCCAGCGCAGACTGTCCCCGCAAGGAGAACCCCCCGCCCGCTGCCGCCGCCTGCGATGAGGCCGCCTGGAGCTTCTCCCCGGGCCGGGCTCGGTGGGCGCCGCGTTTCACCTTCTCCAACTCCCCTCCCGCCGCAGCCTCCAGCAACAAAGAGTGTCCAGGGAAAACCCCCGAGCAGCCGCAGGAAACAGGCTGTGCCCAACGGTGGGAAGGAAAGCAAATCCTCTCCCCGCGGTCCCTGCTAATCCCACCCGCAGGAATATTCTTTCCAGACCCTAAATCCACTCAACAGCTGATCTCGGCACCCTCACAGCTGGGAGCCCTGGGAGCGCCGCAGAGCCACCCCTGGCTGCAGCATCTCCAGCCATCACAGAAAGGTGCTTCTGCCCCACTCCTGAAGCTCCAGCATCACCAGCGGGAAGCACGGCTCCTTCCTGGCAGCAGCAGGACACCTGAAGCACAGGATTAACTTAACACAAACACGGCGCAAACAAGCAATCCACAACCTGATTCCAAATCCCCTTGGAGAAGCCTGTGGTTTCGTATTTCCAGCTTAACTTGCTGGCTTCAAGATTTTCTCTAGCGGGCCATAC